TAGGAAGTCTGATCCAGCTTCCAAACATAGGTACAAATCCTAACCCAARTTAAACACATTAAGAAGCAGTTCAGTCTTGTTATTTACATGTTTGATGGGGGCCCACTTTCTGGGAGGGATGGCACTGTTTTTTAAATATATGCATCTCTCACTTCTTTTTGTTTGCTACCTTTCAAGTCTTAAACTCAGAGATACCACTGGCTACTTGCAATATTTTTCTTAGACCTCTCAAACTGTTTTGTTTTTTTTTTTTTAATACATGGGAATTATTATATTTTATGATAATGTGAAAGCATCTTAGAGTCCAGTGTTCTACAGGCTATAATGTAATAGAAGGCTGGCCTAAATTGATTCATATTATATCTCTGCCTATGCACATTTTTTTTTTAAAGTGTTGTTTGTGAAAATCCTGCCGGAGAAAATCTACTGAAAATCTTCGTAAACAGTTTGAAAATTCTGAGTTTCTTACTTCTGAGTTTGACTAGCAACAAATTCTTGCTTGGAAATTGTTCATTTGTTTTCTTCTGGAAAGAAGTCTCTGTAATCTGGATATGTACAGGGTATCAGGGAAGCATTTTATCTTTATTTGAAAAGTTAAACAGTCTGGCCTCTTGGAGTGTCACTCGTCAGGTAAATTTTCCTGCTCTGTTGTCAACTTTTTCTTGTCAAATCTATGAAGATCATAATTTTTTTTGAACTGCAAATGCCAGAAATTTTAAAAGAAATATGGATCTAGGATRAATACCTAACTCTTGCATGCTCCAAAGTTAACAATACTCTATGTGTGTCCCAGTTACGATATTGAACAAGGAATAAGCAGTAAAAGCAAACACAGAATTTAAACAGCCCTTCAAGCAACTTTTTGGAGGGTTTTCTAAGCCTTGTAGGTTTTGCTTTTTGCTGGACTTYATGCCTCTGTTGAATCTTGCTTTTGCACAATTCTACTGTGTAGCTGAGGGGAACATGTCTCCAGATAGAGCAAACTCGTTTTTATCCACTGTGGTTGACACAGTTTAGAAATACAGAATTCAGAAACCTTATCCCCACTGACAGTGAAGCAAAATTAATCACCTGGATACAGGACCCTCAAAGAAAATATTGATTCAGACAAAAGCCTACCTAGAACCCCTTCTGTGTGGACCAGCTTCCTAAAGTGGGTAATAAAACCAAAATTCTTAACTATGAAATTCTATTGCTAAGCAAACATAGGCTATGAAAGCTTGTGTGCCATCATAAAAAAAGACAGGATCTAATTTGATCAAGATAAATACATACACCTGCATCTGATTGATCCTGAACACATATGCTACTGTAGGATTTGTTTCAGTAAGTACAGAAACAAATGTCATGTTTAGAAATCCCGGACTAAAGCCCAAGCATTTAAATTGTCCGTAGTCAGTACTGAACACATCATTTCTACATGGTACTATATGCTTTCTAGGTTTGTGCTGTGCCAAGAGAATTCACAGATCCATGTAAGTTCTCACTATCTTTAAATTGAAACTGACATTGCATTTACAAATGTTTTTGTTCCTCAAGSTGTGGTCTGTTTAGCCCTAGTAGTCTTTAAGTAAAAAGGTCCATGAAACTGTTTTTTCAAGTCAATTAGGCATTTTTTGTGACTGCCCTTAAAGATGCAGGACTTTTAGAAGTTTGTATGGTAACTGTGACATTCCCAACTCAATAAATTATATCACTTTACATATAGTTATCTGCAGTTATGGGTTGTTTAATTAATGCCCAATTTTTGAAGACTGCAGTTACTCTTCTGGCTTGACAATGTTCTTCAGACCTGCTTTTCTAAAATGTCTCAACTGGTACAAATGGCCAAACTAAAACATAAGTCATGGCTTTTATTTATGACCTGAAAGTAAATGCTCATTTCATTAATGAGATTGCTTAATCACAATGTTTAATATGATTGAACTTTGCTTGTCAATCCATGTCCTGATTTTCTGTACATTTTGTCAAGGAAGAGTTTTAGCTGCTATCAGCACAACTGTGGGAAACTTAATGAAATGTCAGTGGTATTGAAGTACCAGAAGATATTTTTCAGCTCTTTAAATGTGTTGTGACAGTAGGAAACATGGGATTCAGCTGGAAATAGCATTGAGCCAGTTGTGGATGTGATGAGGTTAAATGACAAATCACTCAAGTATGGAAACAAAGGAAGCAAAGTAGCTCAATTTCTCATTTCCTTTTCCTCTTCTGCAAAAAAACTCAGAATGATACCTGCCAAACAATAATGAAAAATGCTCATAAGATCTCATTTTAACTCTGTTGAGAGCAAACCATGAAGGCACTCTCAGTGCTTCTCCCAGTGAACAAAGCTTGCTTTGAACTCATCATCATCATCATCATTGGCACAAACACCAGTGCTACTGAGCTCAGCAGAAAAGTTTCTGACAGAATAACCTTGGGATGTGAGTGAAAGTCTAAAATGGAATGATATGCACTCCTTTGTCAGTGATTTTTATATTTCTACGTATTTTGGAAATCATTGTTCCCATAAAGTTGGGGAGGGACGGGATTGCTACAATCTTTGAGATCTTTCTGAGGGCTGTTAGATCCAGCTGAGTTCTTGCATGCTCTGGTCTCACCATCACCCGTCAGAGCCCAATGCTGACTTGACCCCATGAGCAGGAAGGCTTGCCATTTCTCAAATCCATGTTAAATTCAGAGCTCAGCAGCAATCACCTACTAGCAGAGGCAGATCCTCATTTGACTTTCTGAAAAGATGATATGGCAAACATACTCTAGGGCAATGGCTTCAGGAGCTCCCATACAACGGTATTGGTGGATAAGACACAAAACGTCCACTTAATATTGGTATTTTTTTATTGTTTGTAAACATTCAGCTCATCAGGCAGATTTTATTGCTTTTTGGGAAAAAAATCTAGAAACCAAAAAATATACTAGCRTAGAGCTGACAACGAAACACACAAAAAAAACTTTTCTGGATGAAATTTCTGACAGATTTAGGATCATCAAGACACTGAGTCCAACTTTCAGARTAACACAGGGACTCTGACATGTGAATCTCACCAAAAGGCAATGCCAAACACACGGTGATTCTGCAAAGACCTTATTTCTTTAAAATATGGTTTTGCTCTTGAAGTGACTGTAGTGAATCTTGATCATCCAATGACGCAGATGTAGTGGAAAAATGCTTATCATGTTAAGAAAAGAGAGCATTCCAAGAAGAGGAAGAAGAGACACAAAGATTAGACTATGACATCCATAACCCTCCAATTACCAAACCACTTGTCAGTGAGCCAGCACTTGGTGTGACTTAGAACAGCCTCAGGGGCTCCCATTGTATGTTGCCAGCCAGCAGCTCCTAGGAGCCAGTCTAACAATCACAAACCAGTGCCCCTGTTCTGTCCTCAGGCCGCATGCTTTCCCCCAGCCAAAAGGAGGAGGGATGGCACCAGTCCAGCTTCGACAGCACCTCTCCTTACACTGGAGACACTAAGAACAAATCTGCAGGGTTTACACAGCTTTGTTCTGTAGAACAGAAACTGAACCTTTGCCTCTTGAAGATATCTATCTTCAGACTACACAATCCTCATTCCAAAGATCAAAGGGCTGCTGAGGTACCATTGATTGTTTTGGAAATTATTTTTACCAAAGAATGCTGGTACTTCTCCAGACTGAATTAACAGCCCTTCAGGGCTGGAGCCAGGAGTGTTTCTCTAATAACAGAACAATGATATTACTTCTTGTTTCACTTACTCCACAAATCACACAGCTTGATAGCTCGAAAAACAAAAGTTGTTGGTACCCATATTTCATTTCAGTGTGTATGAAAGTATTCACTTCCTCTGATTTGTAAGTACAATAGTAAGTGCGAATGCTCTGAGAAAAGTCACATCAATCACATAATATATAACAGACAACTCTAAGCCTTAAGCCCACAGATGAGGTACAATTTCTTTCATGATACCAGGAAGCCTAAATTGCTAGTTCACAACTTGTAATGGATTTTGTCATACCTTTTGAATAACCTCACCACTTAATAAAATGCTTCAGTAAGTAAAATAATAACTGCTCTCTGCTGTACCTTGTAAAAGGGAGTATTACTTCCTTTGTGTGTTTAGCCTGTTCCTATACCGATGTGTTTTGGCACTCATTTCTCTAYACAATATAATGTCATTTTTCAAAACAGCACCTTCAAACACGTTTCCCGCAGCCTTCTTGTATAATACCTACCTTTCTTGACAGTACTGGCATTCTGTATAACCATATTTGGTACAGAGGGCAGGGTGATAGGTTATGCCAGCCATGTGGCACATCATGCTTGTTTTGTCTTGACATTAAAATGTTGGGGKTTTTTTTGTGAAGTTCGTGACTGAGATGTGCTTCTCTGACTTACAAATTTTTTGGCATGATCAGTTTACTGAGCTGAGGATAAATCACATCATCAGTATCATTCTAAAGCAAAAGACACTTCTGGGTGTTTTTCAAAAAACAGCCAGTGTCTGCTTCTACCCCATGACTTCCTTTGTGTGGGAAGCTTTGACTTGTAGCAGTCAAGAGCTTCATGAGATGCGAACACTTGAGTGCTCCAAACAAACAAACTGAAAAACCCAAACAAAAATGAACAAACTTGGATGAGCTACTTGGTTTCTCTGATTAGTCAAGTTCAGCTAAAAATCCTTACATTAACCAGAAGAGTCTTTGAAAGAGGGGAAACAAAATCTTCCAAGAATTMATTTTCTGTATTTCACTTTACAGTTTAGTAGCAACTGGTGATTTTTACTCTGGAGACTTGGAGCACATGATATCATTACACAATAAAGTTTTGATGACCATGGCTCTCCAGATGAATTTTATTTCTCTCATGGTTTGTCTGAAAGGTATGGGCACATGTGTGTGTATTCATAAGCACGCCCACATGCACACACACGCACGCACACACACAGATTTTACTGAGCTTAGGATAAACGTGTGTGTGTGTGTGTGTGTGTGTGTGTGTAATCAGGCTTGCATTTGTATGCGAATCAGGCTTGCATTTGTATGCATGTATGTTACATCCACTTCACTTTGCACGTTTCGGTTTACAGGACCTCTGGTGGACGATCAGTCTGTCTGGAAGAAAAGTACGCCCACAAATATCACATGGAACAAGCTGGGCTTGGGAGCTGGTCCAGGCAGCCTCATTTAAAGCATCAAGATCATAGAAACCTTTGGCTGGAAAATTAGAAAAAGAAAGTATCAGTTTTCATTCTGGAGACCCACATTCAACTCTTTATGGAAAATATTTTCAGGAAATACCTGTTGACTGAGCCTTTCAGTTTAACTAAACCATATTGCTTTTGCAAATGAAAAAGAAAAGAAGGAAGCAAAAGGGTAAAAAATATATAAAAAAGACTCTGTTTTTTGTCCCAGGGGTTGAATTAAATTAACTTCAAACGGAATCATTTTGTATTGTATGASAGTATAGAGAAAACATCATGCTGTGTGTTATGATCTGCATTCTCAACTAATTATTAACATCTTTGCATACATACTATTATCAGCAAATTCACTTTTTGGCTTTACTTCAAGCTCTGTTCAGCAAGCATGTGTTATCTGACCATGGCTATGGGCGGGAGTGTATCGTACTTGAGAATATGCTCTTTGTACTGCTCTGGAAAAGGGGCCCAATTTTCTTCCTGTAGGAGTCTATGCAAGTTATACTAAAAAGTGGAGTAAATTTTAGATAAGCCTAAAACCTTACAAAGCCTACAGTACTTTAAAGCCACAAGTTCCTGTGAGGTCATTGCACTGATGCATCTATTGTCATCTAAACACTAATCCAGCCTTACCCTCACTTGTTTTCCACTGTGGGAAGAATGACTGCTCTGAAAACTCAGGAGCATTCTCCAAACACTCAGATGTATTTTCAAGATTTTATTTGGGTATAAAAAAATCTTGTTTACTTTCATCTTGAAATAGACTTTCCTTCTGARATGGATTTTCACATAGTGTTGTTTCAAACTGATTTGCAAAAAGGCCAGGCAGGTTGCTTAATACCTGGATTTAGATCTTAAGGGGTTTCATTTGAAGTACGTGCAGAAAAAAAAATCCACATGGCTCAAACTGAAGATGTATTTCCTTCACCCTTCTTATTTGGTATGACAATATAAAAAAAATTAAAATCTGTTTTTTTCTTTGAACTGTTGGCAGCAGACAATTTTTGAAAAGGATTTGTGCATTTAAAAATATTCCATGGTTTCTGTCACTGGCACATGATCGAGCTTTCATTAAAGACCCATACAATTTTAATATGATTCATATCCAATGGTTCACATAACCACAATAAGCCTTAGATCTCTTAATATGCCTGTTMCTAATGTTCTTTTTGTTAGAAGAGCAACCAAGTAGTGTTTTTTTCTTGGCTGAGACAACTATCCCCTTTGCTTGCAGGAAATGAATGTGTATTTTCTGTACTTTGGAAAGTTTATGGAATATTAAAAAAAGAGAGAGAGAGAGACGACTTTCTCCTTGAAGGCATGTGTTAGGCATTCCACAAACAAAACACTGTGTAATGAGGGCAGTGGTTGTCTTCCCGTGACACTTGAGTTTTCAGAACAAGATTTATGTAAGTCATAAAAAGTTTTATGCAAGCAGTTAATATTTCTGAGCTTTTTTTWAACATTGTCTATTTCATTCAACAACAGGGGTAATCCCTCCCCCCTGAGCTGAGAAACTGTGAGACATGCAGTACATGCATGTGGTCTCAAGGTCAGTTACAGCATTTACCACATGATCAAGAGTACRTCTTATGGAAAAAGAACAACACTGAGATTATTTTCTCGAGCCCAGGACTATGAGGCAGCTGAAGGGGGAACAACAATTTTAGCTCAAGCTACAAATCAGACTTCCATCAGCAGGCATTTAGGGACAGATGCTGGAAGCAGGTCAGTATCCCCAGAGGAACCATGGGCACACAACACCTCACAGGAGATGCAAGGCGCCTGATATGACTCATCGGGTAAATGAGACAATGTTCTGATTCATATCTGGGAGCCTTCTGCTAGATTGTTTTCTCAAAGAGTGGCTGTCCTTCTGTTTCCACTCCTTCAAAATAAGAATAGTGTATTTCAAAATAACCTGATTTGTCCTTTTGCATCCTCCTTTCACATGGAATTCTCATTTTCTCCATTTGTTTTACCACACAATGTGTAATAATTAAAAAGTGCTTAACATCTAAAAGAGCAAACACAATGAAAATGCCTTTTGAAAGCATCTTTTACTGCAGATTCAACTATGCCACTTGGCATTTGTTAACCAAGTTCCAATTTGATATTATTTGAACTTTGATTATTATTTTTAACATCTGGTTAGTGTTCTCAGTGATCCTGCTCTCTTCTGCATGTCTTCTGAGGACATATTTCTTTGTACTGCTGTAAACTGATCTAGTGTATGACTCTTTCACAGTGAGTTGTAGGAGACTTTGTCTACTTTTCCAGACATTAGGGGAAGCTGAGGGAAATTGTGGGGAATATAAAAAAAAAAGTGTGTGAATTAAATGCCTGTGAGGAAGTGGTCCAAACTTGGACCAAAGTAGCTCAGACCAGCTGGCAGGGCCAGGGAAAGCATCCAGCAGAAAAGGTGAAATAACTTAATGTGGGAATAGGGAAGTCCTGGGAACAGCTTCCAGGCAAAGCAGATAGGATTTCCTTCTCATCCTGCAGTGAGCATATGATCCTGGGATACATATGGTAGCCCATCTCTGTGCGTGCTGGGGATCATAAGTGTTCGCTGATTTGAAGTGGAATCTTACAAAACAGAACCCACAGTACAAACATGCAAAATTGGCAGAAAGAGTTTACTTCATACTACATTTTTTTTCTCCACTGTGTTTATATTATAGTGTCTCACAATTAAAGCTTCTCAGACATGTAAATAAAAARGGATCAATAACATCCACAGGATGTTGACTGTAGAAGAATCTGATGAAGTATCTACACCTGTATTGACTGACAAGATTTTATTTTAATGATTCCTTGATTGTCTGCACGTTATTCTGGGCTCTTTTTGCTTATTTTAAGACATGTTTGTCTACAGTGTTATAAGGAAAAAGGTACTGATGTATTTTTGAAGCAGGTTGCGAATCTACTTGTGTTTTGATTTGGAACATATTGACACATAGAGTGGACTGTCCCAGGAGGAATGTTCCAAAGATAATGACTACTCTTACTTCTCATGGATGCTTCACAGAAGGAAAGCTTAAAACAAGCTCTTGAAAGTAAACAGGAAAAAGACAAAGTAGTTGCAAACGGCTTATCTATTGTTTTAAACTATTTTTCCTTTTTTTTTTTTTTTTAATTCCTCACACTTTTTTTCTCATGCCTCTTAATTAGGTCTGTACCTTACCTTGCACAGTTCTGACTTCAGGCTTTTTGGGTTCTGGCCTTCTCAAGTGCTTTGGAAGGCTGTCATTCTCCTGGTGCCATTTTTTCAGGCATTGTGGCTCATGTATACTAATAGATTTTGTTCCGTACTCACGGCCACATAAGTAACAAATCACTGTTGGTGGTCGTCTTATCACTTTTGGCTGCAAATAACAATGGTGAAGAAGAATAAATATAGTTTTCAATACCAATTTTGAATCATGAAAGACATGAAAGAAATCATGTCGATAAGGAACCTGATATCTGTGAAAACTGTTTCTTTCAGTCTGTTTTTGTTTGGATTCAGTCCTCAAGCTTGTAAGAGATATTGCCTCATTAACTGGGCACTGGAACAGGCAGGTTTCTTCTGCAGATGCTGGGCTGAAAATTCATGTGTGTGACTATTAATACTTAGCTGTGTTAAGCTCATCTCTTTTATTTTCATACCTTCAAGTTCATGAAAATGCTAAGCCTTCACATGCAGAAGCAACTCCTCTGCTTCATCAGGTTGCAATGCAGCATCTACCTTAAATGGTTGAAGCCATTTTTTTACTTACCAAGCAGAAGTAAAATGGAAAGCACAACAGATTCAGTTGAATTCCTGTTGTCTTATACAGTAACAGAAAGACTCCTTCTTCTGTCAGAACACAGATCAAAGCTCTGTGTCCAGAGCTAGTATCTCTCTTAAACTGGACAGCAAGGGAAGCTGTCCTAAGAGGTGATTGTGGTTCCTTACCCCACTTTTGCTACAGATGAGTTAGATGGTGGAATTCTTGCCCTTCAAAGATTAAAACCAGTCCAGGATATTTCAGGATGAGGGGCAAWATAGGAACTGCTGTTTGTTTAGCCCAAAGGCCTTAGTGTGAACTTTGCCAGTGACTGCAGCAAGGGCAGGACTGGACTCCGAGCAAGTCATTGTTTCCACACTGAAGATCTGCTTTTGTTCTCAGAGAAAACAGCCCAACAACTCAGGAAAAAGATTCCTCAACCCCAAACCTCACAAATACATAATCTAAGGCTACAAAATGTATAATTACTGCGGTATTGCAGATTATAGACTTGGCTGTGTCCTTAGGCGCGTCCTGGCTAGGCGTGGTGTCAGTATTAGCCATGCTCCAGAAAGTAGGACCAAAACACTCTGTAGAGAAGCATTTTGAGGCACACAGATGGGTCTCACAAGTGCCAGCACTTCCTACACTTCTGACTGCAGAATACCAGTAAGAGATGAGTTATTCCCTGCCCTCCTCAAATTAGACACGCAGTCATTCCAGATCAAATACGGGAAACTTTTCTCACTCAAGCAAGGGTGGTGGGGGTTTCATTTTTTCCTCTGCTACTCTGTAAGACAAAGCATAACCTGTTCCAGTATTTATGACTCTTTCGTCAGCCCATCAATGTGTTCAACTCTGGGCAGCTCTTCTTGCATTTATGTTACAGTCTGAAAATGTCATTAGTGAACAATCTGCATAAGATTGCCTTCCTGTATGACACATGTAATCTCACTTACACAAAAGAAATACTACTCTATAAAGTGTATTTTTACTGGGAAAACTTGGACTTCATCTGCAAAGTTCTCACAGTGTCTTGAGTCTCTCCAAGGACACTTAACATCCTCTTGACTTTCAAATGGTATTTCTTTGCTATCTTTGATAACACAATATTTTATATAAGCGTATTTTCTAACACGTATAAAAATATAGCTGCCTTCTCCTATTTTTAGATGAAACAGCAATAGCTGCTTTAAGAATASCTTATAATTTTTCATTATCAAATTTCACCTACTTCTTTACTTCAAGTCATGAGCTAGAACTTGTCTGATTTTGAAATAAGACTTTGGGTCCAGATACAAAATCTTCTGAAGACACTATAAGTTTTTTGGCTCTGGAGACCTTTAGATAAGGATACYGTAATCTAAACTCTATGATCAGAGAATACTTTTTGGTGTGCATGCCTACTGTGGGTATGGTTACACTATTTGAGAAATGGTAGGCATATTAAAAAAATGCTAGGTGCAAAAACACTGGGAACACACATTCCCCGCTAGTTTTCACTAGCTAGGTTCCTGCCATTCATTTAAATGGTTACATATTGTCTGCTAACTAGGAAACAGAAATTTGATTTACATTCAGTTTGTAGGGACTGCTTATATACTAACAGAACAGGAAAAAGGAATCCTAGTAAAAACGTAGAAATTTTTTCAAGTAGAAATGTCTGTCTTTTGTAATTTCCACAATTAATGGTGCAGAAAGCAGAATTAATTGAAAAGAATTAGATCACTCTCAGGATACTTTTTTTTTCAGAAAAATACTGTAGTTGACCCATCATCACACATACAATTATATACACAAATCCTTCTCTGCACACACGTTCAAAACCTGAAGGAAATTAGCCTATCAATTGTGAGGAACAGACTTTTTTAACTGTGGAATTCAACATATGATAAGCTTTACTTGGAATTTCTACAGCTGATGATATTTACCCTTTATTTCTTTTTATATTCAGGATGCCTATCCCAAATGTCACATCTGGAGGCCTGCAGTTTGAAACTCAACTATTTTTGGAAACACCACAATTTTCCAACCCAAACTACTCACAGGCCAGTGGCTAGGCTGTCTGTTCACTGCTTTGTTTTTAACTTTCAAAAAGGGTTGTAGGGAAGGTCTGTTTCTGAGGATATGTGTTATTATAAAAATACCTACAAATACCTAACAGTGTAGTTAGGCTTTCCTCTGGTGTCTCAGTATTTTCTTTTTTACTCCAAGACTGCTAAGTATGTCTGCGTGACTATGAATGAAGTTATTTAGCTCAGAGGACTATGCAACTATGTATTTTCAATAGACCTGACATTACTTAAGGTTAGCCCCAGGCTGCTGTTACGGTGTTACATGAGGTCAAATCCTTCCATACTGCACAAAGCTTTTTATTTCTTCTTAAGTACACACAATAAGATTGACTCCCAAACTCCACTACATAAATATTTATCATCCAGGACTGCACACACCTCTGCCTTTCCTATTTGTTTAATTATCCATGTATTTTAATGGGAAKAAGGGAGGCATCCTGCCCAATGAAGGAGCTCTTGTCACAGATTTGAATTGCTCAAGAATTAGAGGCTCAGCAAAAGATTGGTACAAGTAGTTTGCAGCAGCATTCTGTTATATGAAAGCAGCCCCTTCCACACATTCCTCTCTGCAAAGKAAAAGGTACTTTGCATAAGGATCTGGGACAAACTATAGCATGGCTTTCATGACTATCCAAAGCTGCACTTCACAGCCTACTAAGTCTTTGAAAGAGACACAACAGCACTCATGATAGGACTAATCATATGCACATGTAGGAAATTTCCTTGAACAGCAGAGTAATTCTGCAAGATKATTTACATAATTAAACATATTATTCAACTGGAAGCACTAAAATATCCTGGTTTGCTCCTGATGTGCTTTCTTTTTAAATTTAATAAGTCAACATAATGAATATGGCATTAATGAACAAGCAAAGGAAGGAAGCTCAATCATTCCCAATGATAATACTCAGTAAGTTTCATTGAAATCATCCATTCACTGTCCATCCTCATCCAACTTTTTATATTTGCAAATTTATTTGCCAGTATTCTCCTAAGAAGGTGGTCAAAACCACTGCACTGAGGAAAGAAAGCTCATCATTGACTTCACACCATAGTCAGAACTACACTGCACCTGAAGGGGCCTTAATTTTACCAAGATGCTACAGGGCTTTATGCTAAAGCAAAATACAACATCAAGGTTGTTCTACATAAATTTTCAAAATTTATACTTTGTTAAAACACCTTATAATTCAGCAAAGGAAGATCAGCGAAATRTTTTTAGGTAGTTAACCAGATAAGAATAAAACAGCAGATGGCAGCACCATCTAATAGGCTTTTAAGAYCACTGTTGTCAAAACCCCCATAACTCATATACACCCAGCAAGTTATTGATGCTCACTTATATGTATCACACATTTTGGTCTATGAAACAATAAAACACAGACTCTGTTTTAGTCTGTGTTTCAGTAGCTCCAGAAACCACTTCCATTGTCTGAGGAATCACAGCAGAATCCAAAGAATTTCYGAGCTGATGTGACCTTTGAGAGCCTCTAAGCATAGACTGTTGTTTGTTTTACACAGCCAGACATGAGTTCTTTGGTTCTGAGAGCCAGGACAGGTACAGGAAGAGATCGTTTACAGAGGCTGTTCAGCCACCACCTCTAAAGACATTTAATGCCGAGAATTGGATAAGAGTTTGTCAGTAATGATACTGGCCTAGTTGATTCTGCACTTGCTGAAGGGGAGAGAACTCCAGGGATATAGGCAGAGGCACACAGGGTGAAGTGTCTGCAGTTGTAAAATTAAAATGCCCTTTATATGGTGTACCACTTTATCAGTCATAACTTTATTTTGAAAATGATGAAAATCCAGCTTTTTCATTTARGGCATCTTTTCATAGCATAAATTTTTTTGACAGTAGCACTACTTCTCTTAAATACACTTTATAAGGGCTGGGTTGTTCTTTTCAGTTATTCCTTTCCTCTGATGTTTTGAGGAAGCAGGAGTTTAGGCAAGTATTTAAATAATTCACTGTCAGTGAGTAAATATGTTAAATAAGACAGGGACTACCCCAAATGCATTCCAGCCATGACCAAAACAGTTGCCATTTTGCTCCACCACTAGTRAAGGACTGTTTTTTAACGGAATTAATAAGCAGCTGAGTGACTAGTAAGGTGAGCAAAATTAAAACCATATGCTGGAAAAAGAGGAAACTGTAGAGAAGACATGACCTTGTCCCTGTTCATAGCTAATCTGCAGTTATTCCACAAGATTAATGCTTTTTCTCACACTTCAATGTGTGGACCTTTCAAAATGTTCAACTGGAAATAAAGATCCTGTCACAGAGAATTTAAACCTATGGAAAAGTGACTTCCTTTGAGCATTTCTTATAAGCTGTCTGTGAGTCCTGAAGAACCCCTTGGATCAGAGAATATTTCTTTCAGTCTTCCCATCACATCTCTGCCTTCAATACATGACTGTACAAAAGAACAGCTCTAAAAATAGCACAACAAACCTCAGAGAGGTAAAATCCATCATCCTTTCSTGAAAGTCACTGTTTATAATAAAGTCAATTACAAACTGCAAGCTGTACAGCCTCATTAGTTCTGCTGTAACTGATGAACTGTAACTGCTTGGAAGTAAATGAGGAAACCTGTTGTTCACACAGAAGGAAGAACAGATTTGAACAGATTTGATTTTGGCTCTGCAGAGCTCACAGAAGTAAAAAGTGGTAATAATGTTTTTGTTCAACAGGTCAGCAGATGTGAGTGAATTCACAAAGGGAACAAATACGTTGTGCAAGAGAGTAACATTTTTTTACAGAGTCACTGTCAGTGCCAAACCACATTCTAGACTTTTTTTTTTAAATGGTATTGTGACTATAGAACATTCCCCTCAACCTCTTTATTTTAACCTACATAATTAGGTGTAATGGACTAAACTCTCTGTTTCACACCCATGTCTTTCATGGAACAATCACCTTTAGTGCAATGACAGTTCTTTGGTGAAGAGTACAATGTACTGCAAACAGCATCACCTTTCCTACAGATGTAAATGCAGCTGTGCATCACTTTGAACTGTTTGTGGATTATGTAAAATTTGCTCATAAAAAAATTGCTGAGGAGTGAACCTTAATCTGCCAATATCTATAAATTAGTGGCCTCATATAGTGTAATAAAAATGGGCTCATGATGTCTTAGACTAGTCTCACTTGAACAAGGGTAATGCTATTATCTTCATTTTACTCAGCAGCTGGTAAACTACCATGTAACATACTTTGACTTCTGAAGCTTCTTTAGAAATGCTCTGCGTAGCATTGCATTCCTTTGGTGACTGAGAGAGCTACATCCCATTTTCCAAAGCAATGTAGGTAATCAGGATTCTAACCCATATTTGAGAAAAAAAAAAAAAAAAAAAAAAAAAAAATAAAAAAAAGCCATTCAATTTTGACACTGGGCCTAAATTTAGACATCTATCTTACAAAACTCCTGCCCAACAGACAGCTTGTGCAGAAGCAAATGCAGAAGAAAATTATGCCATTTTCCAAAACTCTGTGTAGCTTTTGGATAATGTGAATCAGCTTCTTTATTCTTGGATCCTAGATCAAATTCAGTGGAAAAAAAATGTCTTCTTTATTTTGTTGCTGTTATACCCAGAGCTGCTGCCTTTGAACATGCAGTCCTCAGTAAACTCACGTTCCATGCCAAGGTTAAGAATAACAGTAAAATATGAAAATCATGTTTTGAAGTGCTGGAAGCTTATAGGATAATGAAATGTTGCACTTCATATTAACTAAATAAAAATACCTAGTATCTCCTAAAAYATATAACTTCCAAACCTTGTCTAAGCTGCTCAGTAGAATCTCCTAGGGATCTATATCAAACAATGGTCCCTCTTGAAGATACAACACTTAAAGGATGACAGAGAACCCAACTACTCCCATTCAAAGGGAAAATCAAAATAAATAGAAGTAAGTAGTTTCCTGTATGCAGCCAGTATTTCCCTTTTCTTTATCCTCTATTTAGCAGAGGAACATGTGCATAGAGATAAAAAGCCTTTCTGAGGAAAAGTAATTTCAAATTTGATGGGAAGCCAGTCTCCCCTGGAGTGCCAAATATCGAGATGCATCCACACCCTTTCATACAGCACATGCATAGAAATTTACCTGGTCTGATACAGCTGGTGCAGCCCTGCTATTTCCTTGATGGGCCTTAGATGGATCATTACTTGCTGCTCCAGTTGCAGCTCTTGGTCCTTTACCTTTGTTACCTCCTTTACAACACCTTTCATGCACAGGGAGACGGTCAGGAAAAAAGGTTCGGCCACAGATACTACAGGGCACGAGCTGGGCTTGAGCACTATAATAAGCTGCCTCATTTTCAGCTGMAAGTGTATAGGAACCACCAAGACCTGTAAGGACCTCAGGTTTCCTGGGCTCTGGCCTTCTGAGGTGCTTTGGTAGCTGATTGTTCTCAATACGCCACTTCTCTAGGCACTGAGGTTCATGTATAGCAATAGACTGTGACCCAAATTCTCTGCCACAGATATAGCACACCTTGAAGGCAGGTCTTCTTGCAAAGGGTTTTGCAGACATGTCTGAAGAATCTGACTGTTTTGATACTATTGCAGTGCCTGGTCACCTCTTCTGTGATCCAGCTTCTAGATGTGCTACTTTAGGAAAAATTCTGGGAAGATCTGGCACATTAGATGGTGAAACCTGCTCTGAAGGCAAGGTGCTAAAGATACTGAGAGAGGTTTCTTCAGCACCTGATAGAATACTAAAAGTTTTGTTCACATTCTTTTTCTTGACATTTGTTTCCATGAAATATKTCAGGCAACTTCTCTCTCTCCTACACATAAAGGGCTTGGGAAAGTCGTTATTCAGAATGATTCCACATCTTCTTAATCCATTTTCATGGGCCAAAATATATTCGGAACTTCAAAGCTGGAACACTGAACTGTTTCAGCAGAGAAAGGGGGTTTCTGTGTGTTATCCTATTGTCTTTTGCCCTTATGTAATCCTGAAACAAATGAAATTAGTACAAATTAATAAATGCATTCCCTCTAGTTAAGATTACCAACCACCAGTTTATCACAAGGAACAGTTAACCTGTCATATTTTAAAATAGCAGATAAATAACATCCAATATATTCTTACCCATAATGATCAGCTGAACAATGTAATTATAAAATTCTGGTCCCAGAGGCTGTAAAATCATGAAAAACATGAAGGAATATGGGTTTGCACAAACTGAAGCAGATGAAATGCAAGTGGTTTGCAAAATAATCAATACACATTATTTTCAGTCACTGAGAGAACTGGTATTTCTGGCAGTCTTCAATTTATAAGTTTTTTATGTTGATACATAAACATAACTTCCCTGTCTCCAGAGACATAAAAAAAAGTCCCTTAGCACATAACAAAAAGACCCATAGCAGAGGGATGCCAATATCCAATCTACAAATGGACAGTCAGAAAGGAAAGTGTTCCCAGTCTACTAGTTGAAGATTATTAGGCCTCTTTATTCAGCACTTGTGGTATCTCAAACTCTCTGACCAGCCTTGATTCTCAGAAGTGTTATTAATAAAATGCAGCAGGTTTATTAATAAGGTGAGGTGCTTTGGAGCACATGCTGGATGACATGGTAAGGGTACTGTATTTGTTTAGTCTCCAGACAGTACTAAATATATTTCAGCTTTTCAATATCCAGTCTGTCCCTGTAAACAAATAAATTTGTGTTTTATCCCTCAAATGTTCATTTCTTACAATATTTTGTGCTGGTCCTCCAAGGATCAGAAAATATGGTTCAGGCCATACACATACATGGCCGAGGCTACTGTTTTAATTGCAAGGAAAAACTGAAAAACAAACTAACACATTGCACATATAGGTAACTGCCAAGGAGAGTCTCCTTCATCTATAGTAGAAGAAACATCTGGCTGAAGTCATCTTGCCCCTACTGAATATTCCAGACCTTATCTCAATCCTACCAAACCTGCAGGGGGCTTCTAACACACAAACATTTTCACACTGGCCATCTTGGTTCACTTCCTCGGCTGCAGCCATCCAGCCTGGATCTTGTTTTTACTGCTTTTTTGTTTTGTCATCATTGAAGACTTAGTTCCCACTCATCAGCCTTTTTACCCTTATCTGTCCCATCTCTGAACCCATGGRCTGGCTTTTACTGTACCCAAGGGCAAGGACTTTTGTCATTACCTTTGAGATGACAAACTTTTTCTGTGTCACTGAGAAGCACAGAGCTCATTCTAGTCTCTCACAAATATTCTAGGGGTTATCTTAAGTACAGGGATAACTGAAAAAACAAGCTGTCACCAGGTTCACGTGAGTCATCCTTTCACCAGGCACACAAAAATGCTTTAATTGCTGTGTTGACACTGCTTGYTTAAATACTCACAAAGCTGCATATTTCTGGAATGCCTGTGATCCTTTCTTATTTTTAAAAAAATTCCTGTGAAGCTCGTATTTATTTGTAGGCAAACTGGAAAATGTGAAGACCATCAGACCCAATCTGTGATTTATACTGGAACAAATTTCTGTGAGCAAATATGTTGTAGTTAGCTGTTAAAAATAAAATTCTTGAGTGACATTATACTTTGTGGACTCAAAGTTAACACCTCGTCCAAAACTGTATTAGATAACTGCAGTATGCTGAAAAATAAAGTAAAGTACAAGGCTCTAGTATCCTCTCATGTCTGAAATTGTCAGGTGTATCAGGTGCATCAGGTGCATATAATGTAAGYTGACGGTTATACAAAACTATAGCACTGGAATTTTTAGTTCAGCTATCAAAATAACAGGTTCAGCAGTACGTGAAATTTAAATGCACAAACTAGTATTTAGGCTACTGTACTGCAAGGCTGTTTCAAAAACCGGGAGAGTTTCCAAGGAGGGTGGCCTRTTGGATGAATCCAAGTTGGGAACTAGCCAAGCTCTTTAGGAGGATGAAGGGACTGGAGAGCCAGGGAAACATTAAAGGGTCATGAAGGCAGGGGAGATAAGGGTTATTGGCGGGTCACAGGAAGGGAGCATCATGAAGTTCAGTTATATTGCAGGAACTTCTGAACTTTGCAAGGTCCTATTTATGTCCTATGTATTGATTTATGTCAGAATGAAATTTTTTCATACCTGAGAGGATTCGTAAAGCAACAGTGAGCACTGAACTGTCTGCCATATGAAGAATRTTAGGTGACTAAATCTGTTGCCATTAGGAATGAATCAGTCAATAAAAGATRCTATAAACAATCTATTAACAATATAACCTATTGTTGGATTTCCAAGCTTGCTATTGTAAATACTTCATAAGAGAATTATGCTTCCTTGTGGGGATTACACCATTTGGTCTACATTTATTCCTGCCAAGTTGACTGTTATTATTTGGAAACTTCCTATAAATTCAGTGTGAAATAAAAGGCATATGAGCAACTCAAATCTTCTCTCAAGCTCAGTGGTAAAGATGTGGAAGTAAATCAGGAYTGGGATTTAACAATTCAAAACAAAGCTTTATTATGCTTTTCTTTTAAAAGTGTTGCAACATGTTTTAACAAAGCGGGAAGGTACAGTTGATCATTGTGTATAGCAATGGGAAAACATTTCTCTCCTCTGCAGTTCCACTGAGGACAACATTTAAAAACAATTTCATGAACTGGAGTGACAGTCACTTACAGTGAGTGGAGAAGTTCAATTTAATTAAAAGCAAGTGAAATACTGTGGCTAGTTTAGCATCAGGCTAACAGCTTCAGTCAAACAAAACAGAATAGAATGACAAGAGCGCAAAYAGCTCTGTACATCTATCATGTTCTTGTCCTGAAGAGGGAACGGCAACTCCTTCACACAGCTTTTAACCTTCATTTAATCAGAAATTGCAACAGGAGTAATATTAACCATGCTTCACTTATTCTGCCTTCTCTTAGCTGCCATGTGATTCAACCCATACAAGTAAGTGAAAACTTCTTCCCTGAAACAGTCTTCTTCATGTCTTGTTTCATGTCAGTGTTGGAACTTGGAAGCAAAGTTGACACACACGTTTCCTATTTCCTGTACGCAGCCCATTTCTGAAAAGCGACCCTCTCTGTTTCTCATCTCTCTTGATTCTCTCATGTAAACAATTCCTCAAAAACCATTATAAGGTCATTTTATAAGCCTGGATTTCTTGACTGAATTGAACAAAACATACTTKTGTGAGCTGGGGGATTAAATTGGCTGTTTCCAATGAATTCTCAACTCTACTGCTTTTGACTTAGAATTCCACATGGAGACCTCCACATGGAGCTGAAAAAAAAGCCAGGGTTTACCTTATGGAAGAACACACTGCATGAAGACTCCTACTACCCGGACATGACCATGCTTATTCAAAGGACGTGAGAATTTGAGGAATCTGTKTTTGTACAGTTTATGAACGTTGACTGGTATCACAGCCTTTCCACATGYAACTGCATCAGACTGTAAACTCAGTTCTTTTGTACAGTCATGTATTGAAGGCAGAGATGTGATGGCTGGTTTACTGTCACTGTTGTAATCTGTCAGCACAGAAAGGGACAAAATCAATCCTTGCACAAATACAAAGATCACAGAGCTTTCAAGCTTACATGTCAAAAAGCCCAAGAAACTCTTAGACAGGCTCGGTTTAATTTAACATCAGAGACAATTTCCAGGGAACATCATAAACAAGAAAAATAAATAGTGGGAACTTATTCCTTTGCTACCTTTTGAAACCAGTACTAGATAAAGCAATGAGAGGGATTTATATGAAGTCCTTGCTTCAGGTGACAGTGGCTTAAATCCAGAAGGCTCTTGGAAGAGGTCATCTATAATTAGAGAGTGCTTACAAAATCAAGACTCCCATAACAGAGCTATGAAAATGTCTGCATGGGTTGATCTCCCTGAAGGTATGAAAGGCCACAGATACATTAAATGAAGGGGCAAACTTATGGCTCCAAAACGGTAGCATCCAAACACAAAAGCCTGGTGGAGGCGCAACTACAGATCAGGATGTCATTGCCAAAAATAAAATAGATAAATTTTAGCTAGCAGAAAGGAACTGGTTAATTCATTATCTTGGGTTCAAGAATTCTTGTCTGTGTGAGCCCTCATTTATGCAAAACRCCACTTCACTGAGTTTTCCCTTTATTTTCCTTTTCTTCAATACTACACTCAATGTGGTATACTTACTCTGCCTGTTCACCATGCAGTGCTTGGAGCCATAAGCATTGTTTTTGACATCATGGTGTAATATGGGTCATTTAATAAGGGTGATTTATGTACATTGGAATAAATTCACAAAAAATTGAATAAAATTCACATTTTAAAAGAAAGGTTTTATTTGTAATACCTAACTTTACAGTTATATAAATTGGAAATGTCTCAAATAGCTTTAAATGAGAAGTGTCAAGCAAAAAATTCTAGTACTACAAGAGCACCCAGAGATCCTGGTTTCTCAGTCTGGGCTGGACTGTATAAACAAAGGAGAAAAGCTCAGTACAAGAGGACATAAGATATATAGAGAGATGAAGTGATCAGCTGAGCATAACACAGAAAGTCTGAAAAAGAAGGCAATTAAATCTAGATTTGCTAGCGCCTCAGTACTAAATCAGTCTGGTCACAGAGGATTTTCTAAGGCTGATCCCTAATCTTATAGTCAAGATAAAGATTTTTTTTTCTCCAATTTCCTGGGTTCTCATTATATTTACACATAAAAGAGGTGTCAGAAAGGACCAAACTGACATCCTCTGTTATGAGCCAGAAAGCCTTGCTTCAGGCTCTTTCCAAATAAAATGTTTTCTATGAGTCTTCTCAYTATTCTG